TGCGCGGCCGCGCGTACGTATCCGGAAGCGCTCGGACTCGGATCAACGGTTATTCGTACACACTTTTTTATTCGGCTTTTTTGTCTCTGTTTTCGGGAACGATCTACGATCTACGACGATCGGCAGCGTTCGACCGCGTGGAGCAGAGAAAAGAACCGATCGCAGAATCATTTTTCTAAGAAACATGCTCGTCGTCGGTTATGGAGAAAAACCGGGAGCAGTACGAGAGACAAAAAGAGAGGGAGGGAGTGTGCGTGTGTGTGAGAGAGAGAGAGATAAAGAGAAACACGGGCATAAAAACTAGGATCGCTGGTCGTATCGTGGCACGTGGTTCTTAACAATCGATACGACTCACTGCTTAGCGCGACGTGGTTTTCCCAGATACAAATCTTCGTTCGCGCTGCGAAACGATTTTCTTATTAAGGATCGTTACGATCGGTATCTGTCGGCCGTCCAACGCGACTGAAATCTGCCGCAACGATCGAGGAATTATACCGCGATGGAAACTGCACCGTTCCGTTTGCGATAATCGGCGTGTCCTGTTCCTGGTTACACGCTCGCGGAATCGCGTTAACGATTTACGATGGCAAGTTCACCGTCCTCGTTTCCCGCCCGAAAAACGTCGACACGGGTGCAAGCTTCTGCTCCCCACGCGAACACGATCGGACGTTCGTTAGAAGCGATCAATATGTTCTACTGGAACATTTGACGACTAGTAGTCACGCTCGACGATTGTTCTAGGAAAAATCTGCGACAACGTAGGCGGGTACTTCCGCTCGGTCGCAAACGAGAGAAATATTCTTCAACGATAATAGTAATAATAACGATGACGATAATAACAATGAAACTTTAATTCAAACTGTTCGCATGCGTAAGATCATGGGTCCGTCTGGACCCGAACGTGGGGCTGCGCGTGAACGCTCAAACACCGGTACTGCGAGGCTTAAACATTGTGTTTATTAAATGAAACTCGTTATTCATTGTCAAATTTCTTTCTTCACGATTATCTTCGCAACGATATGCTAGTCACGGCGACTGATTCGTCCATTTCGCTTCGTTTGCATTCATGGTTCTACGCGAGAGTACACCGCAGTCAAAGGGTTAATATCGAGTAATTACCGTTCCGAGAGCTAACTTCCTATTTCCTCGTGTAAAAGGACCCGAAAATCGTGATCCGACCCTGATTCGATCTCGCGTCGCTCGCCTGTAGCTGTTTACGCAGTAAATTCTCCCTAATTGACGCTCAGATTGTACACAAAAATGGACGATTTCGGGAGAGGAGACACGATTATTATTCGAGTCGTCGAAAATCGGCAACTACAATCGTATCTCCTCTTCCGAAATTGTCCGTCGTTCGCGTACAATCCGAGCGTCAATTAGAGATAATTTACTGTGCTTCGTGCCAGTTCTCGATGAACAAAGTACGTACGTACCTGGCTAAACGCCTAGTGTCCGCCACTTTCTGACTCACCCTGTACATCACGCTCGCGCTTCACGCTTTACGCTTTTTTCCACGGTTACGTTACCGTGACTTCCCGCCATTCTAACGTCCCACCCTCGCCTTTTACTTCTGCCTTTGCCTTCGCCTTTCCGTTGACGATCGTTTCGCTTCGTCGCTCTGCCACGGTGCCGTTGTCTCGCGGCGCGATAAAGACAGAGTTAGGAAGTCGCTCCTCGTGTGGGTCCGCCCGCGATTTGGAAAACCCGGACTGGCCGACCTTGAGAGTGCCGTTCTCCGCGAGAGAGAAGGACAATCGCGATTGTCCTTTCTCGATTCCTCTCCGCACACGCTCACCTCCCTCCTCCTCTCGCGCGCGGCGGCATCTCTTTCTCTCGCTCGCTCTTCCTCCGACAGATCTTTTCGCCTCCGTTCTCCCGTCTCCCCCCCCCCCCACCCCACGACTCGCATTTTCTTCTTTCGATCGTTGGTTCTCCTTACCTTGCCCGTCATTTTTAATGCTCTTTGGCCTTTGTTTACCGCATCTTTCTACCGCGTGTTTGTTTCTCCCGACGATCGCTTTTCTTCTTTGTCCTCGGCCAGTCTCAATGGTCATTTTATCCTTTCCCCTTCCGTCCTTCAATTTCTTCCCGTCCTCGCAGCGCCCTTTGTCCTCCGCGGGTTCGCGTGCTCCTAGCTTTCGTAGGTGTCCCTTTCTCTTTATCCTTTTCTTTCTCGTTTTCTCGTACAATTCACGTTCTCTCGTATATCCTTCGCCTTTCACTCTGCATTATATTTTCATTTCTCGTACGCCTATCCACGTCCTTCGTTCCCTTCTCCTTCGAGCTCTTGTCGTTTCTATCGCATTTTCGTTTCTCGCCGGGTACATAATTCATAGTCCGTCCTCTCGTCGTTTCGTCTCCCCTGGCCGTTCAGCGTTTTCGATTTCCTTGAGCCGCGGGGTCCGTTCTCCTCGAACTCGGAAGTTGTCCCTTGCTCCCGCGCGGCCTTGCCTGTTCCCGAGCCACGAGATTGTTTTTCGGCCCGGTTAACTCCGATCGAAATCGCCACGACTATTTTGAGCGCCGGTGACGGACCGTGAATTACAATTCCTCGCGTTCCCGCTTGTGCAACACTGTGATCGAAATCTCGAAACGGAGAAAGTGCGGCGAAGGTGGCGGGCGGCGCAGCTCCCATTTACTCCGGCAATTTCTTTTTATTCGTGCAGCGTGCGCGCGAGTCCGAGCTCTTGATGTCTCAATGGGTTCGCTCCGACGGCAATTTCGTCGGATTGTTCCGTGCTGCGTGTTCAGACGTACGCCCCTTTTACTCCTTTATCGTTGCTTCCTGCGTGGCCGCGAGCCGTGTCTTTCACGATCGGCCGTGTGTTCCGCGAGATTAAAATCGTCTTCTCGACGTTGGTCGCGGGCTTGAGCGGACACGTAATCGTCCCCGTTGCAATTTTATCGCGCGTTTTAACGAACCGATCGCGTGCTTTCTTCACGACCGAGGGAAACAGCTGTGTACCCGAGAGAAATTTTCATCTCGACGAAGAAGCCGGAGGTTCGAATTGGTCGCGGCGCGCGCGACGCGCACTTGAAATCATTCTAAAAGCAGTTAAGTGGCCGGCAGAACCTGTATAAAGATTAGACAGAGTTTCTTTTCCTTTATTCAAGGAGGCATCGTGTCGGCGCGGCGCGGCGCGGCGCCTTTCTCTTTGCGCAACTGTTCCATTTCCAGGCAACAAAAGCCAGTCGAAGCTTCGCGTATAGCTGAGAAAAAGGTTTAATAGGATTTGCTAATCAGGTAAATGTCGAACCGCATGCGCGAATCATTTATTTCGGCTCGCTGCGCAGTGCGTCGTCCAAACGGGCAAAAATCGAGAAATCGATTTCATACTCGATTAAGAAGAGAAGCCTGCGTGATTGGATATCGATGATGAACCGAGAACGATCGTGTTGCTAAGCAAACGGCGTTATTTATGATCGTATTAATTACCTGAATATAGAAAATAGCATGTCGGTTTTACTTCGCTTCTCGTTGTTGCTTAAACCGAAGAAATACAATCTCAGTCTCGGTTTATTTTCTTCGGCAACGGATCATTGAAAAACAGACAGACGTTTGAAAAGATAAAATGTGTCGACATTCGTCCGAATGTATAGTGTGAAACAATCGCTGCGAATCTTCAGGCACTTCCGTGAAATTAACGAACAAATATTTCGGACAAAACTTGCCCGGTATTCGGCTAACAATAAATTATCTTAATGAAAATCTGGCTGCTAATGAAAATTTGAAATTATATAATGTTTTCGATGCAAATCAACGCGACTTCTTCTATTTTCTCTTCGGAAAATTATTAACGCGTTCAGGTTGAGAATCGATTGGTTGGGAAGTTACGATTTTTTGTCCCGAACGTCTCTGCTCGACGCGATCTGTCCAGCCGGATCCATCGGGGCTCCGCGTGAAATCTTTCCAAATTCTCATTGTCGGCGAAGAGCAGCGGAAGCATCGTGTGTAATCGAGCCGTGAAATATCTCCGCCCGTTTCCCGAGTCGGGCAGCTTTCTGTCGTCGCCGATCGGGCCCCATAAATAGTTAACAGTGCGCTCACCCGCGGATACTTATCACACTTCGAAACAACATTACGCGCGATACGTCGCGTCGCTCGCGTCGCTCGCAGCCGAGCGGCAGCGTTCTCCGCGGCAGTTTTTAGAGCGGCACGATAAATCGCCGCAGCATCAGGCAATTGCGCGTGTTCATCGCAAGAAAATACACGTTGCTCAATCCTTTAATAAATTATACGAGGCTCGGCCGCGAGAAACTGTTACCCGTTCCGTCGGATCAAATCCCATTTTATGATGTCGGATACTACGGAGCGCCGTGGAACGGCTCTACCGGCGATTTTACAATAACGTTTTACCATTCGGCGTATTTTCTGCCCGTAGAACTCTATCCAGAAGCTTTCTGTTCGAGTTCTTCCATCGAGCCAATTTCCTCGCAGGTAGATGAAAAGAATCGGAATTTATCGGTCGCGCTCCGGTTCGATTCCGCGTTTTATCTGCGAGCGCAACATTCTTAATTGAAAACGGTATCGCGTTTAATAAACGTGTTGCCCTCTCCGCGGCTCGCTCGGATCTAGGCAAGTAGAATTGGGTGGGTGTGATTGCATGGACGCGTAGCGGGAAGTAAGTAGCGTGCAGTACTTAATAAGCCGCGTGAATTACATTATTTTATGGTACGCTGCGCGGTCAAACTGGCCGCGCGCGAGAAGGGAACCCGCGGAGAATTAATTTCTTGGCAGGCTGGACGAAAAAACTGTAATACTGTAATACTGGTATCGTGATCGCATAGCGGCCGCTCATCTCCGAGCGATCGATATAACCGTTTATCGCGATATTTTTAACGCTAAACCTACCGCGGTCAACATGATCGTTTCCTTATTTTGCGATTCTGCTAACTTTAGACACTGTGTCACGGTAAACGCTCGAATAAATTATATTATTAGAGAAGGTTTTATAGTAAAATCTTTCGTTCTAAAATCTAAGTAAATTTGATCTTCTTACTTTTTTATGAAGCAACGCGCGCCAGTTACTATTACTGCTTGGTAGGTTCAGTGTTAAATAGGATCGTCCGCGTGCACGTGCGAATTCTACAAATCAAAAATATAGCGAATATACAGTGATGTGCATGATTATAGTCTCGAAGTAATTTTGTACATTGTTATTGTTATCTGTGCGAAAAGTTACCAAAATATTATATTCGTATATTTCGATTTTCTATGATTTCTAATATAGAAATATACAAATATGATGTTCTCGGGACGCAAACGGTTGAACGAAATTTCTAATTTACAAAGATGAAGAAGCTTGATCGAACGAAGCCTCCTTTTTTGTTCGTCGGCTACTATGTAGATTTCTAAATCGAAATAGAACGAGACCGTCCTGAGCGGACCGATAAAAGTTGAATTTCCGTTGCCGCGGCTATTCGGAAAATTCGATCGAACGAAGCACGGTGAACTTTGAAAATGCGAGCTGAATTGAACGCGATCTTCTTAGCGAGACGAAACTAAGATGCTTGTGCACGCATACGGTGAAAACGTGTGCGCTCGATTAGAAGTTCGTCGCGCGTGTGCGGTAATTTGACAGGAAGAAGAAGGGAAGGAAGGTATCGGGTCTATGGAGAAATAAATACAACGGCGGTAAAACGGCGCATAAATATAGTCGGGCATGGGGCAGCGCTTAATAAGGTGTTCGAATAACGTTGTGCCACGCGAGCAAAGGTGCAGAGAGTCCCGGGCGAAAAGTGGTCGTCGCGCAGCGCAGCGCCGCGCCGCGACGCCGTTACATCGTATAAACCATGTTCCCGTCGTTAATTCCTCCGGTTTGCGAATTTAATAATTCCCTCTGAGCAACGTTCGAGTGTGCCGCGTACGAAACGTTCGTTATCCGATAATCTTAAGTTCGACGGAGCCGGGAAACGTCGTGTATGCAACAATAATGCGACAGAATCGCGCGTAAATCGTGGATCTTAACGGCGGCGTTACGGCGATGCACCCTGCGCGTTTCAACTTCAACGCTAACAATCGTTGTCTAGAAAGTCCGAGCGACACTCGCAGAGAAAAGCTTTCAGAGAAGTTTGAAGAAGAAGGGTTACACAGAGATTGTCTGTTGAATTTATAGTTTTTAATAGCGAAGCCTATGCAGTTCTCTGCAAGCCTTAAAATACATAGGGAAAAAAAACTGGCACATAATGAACTTATAATTCTCTCCGATTGCAAAAGTGTTATACATATACAGGGTGTCCCAGGTTTTAATGATCAAACTTTGTCAGTATATTCTATGGCACAATGAAAGAAAAAAATGTTATGTAAACAAAAATTCAGAATAGGAATAGTAATCAACTAAAAAGAAATGAAAAATAAAAAAAAATCTTCGATCGATGTCAATCATGTATTGTCAACAACGGTTATTAATACGTTTCGAAATGTATTAATAAACACAGCTTACATAAACACACGGTATGTGCTGATCTATTCAAGCCAATGCTCGCAGTAACAGCAAGTTGATTACTATTCCTACTCTGAATTTTTGTTATAACTTCTTAATA